TCCGGCTCGGGGTCTTTCCGCCATCTTGAAGAATGCAGAAGAACCTCCAATAAAGCGTGCTTCAGAAGAATCCTGAGTGTTGCGTGCTCCTTGCTGGCGAGGTGCGCGTGACAAGCAGCCACTTAGTCTTAGTAGATCAATGCTTCTCTTCAGCCAAGTGGCCAGACCTTATTTTGAGACATCAGAGGATTTTCTCATATCCAGTTCAATAGTAGCTCTTCTCTTTTTGCAAAAGGAAAAAAAAGAGCACCCTCTCCTCAAAAAAAAAAAAAAAAAAAAAAAAAAAAAAAAGATAGCTCCCAAAAGAAGAAGAAAAAAATATGAATGCCTTGGTTCCAGGGTAAAAAGCAGTCTTGCTCTCCCAGTGACTATTGTGTTACCCTCAACCACTTTTCCTTTAACAGAGGAAAATATCTGCTGAAGCAGAAAAAAAATGTTCAGTGCTTATAGCACCAAGTAAAGACAGGGGCCGCTCCCCCGCAGACAATGCAAAATTGGAATCTAATTTTCTGGAAACAGCATTCTTGATTTGGCAGCACAAGTATAACTAAGGTTAGCCCTGGGAGATGATGACTTTAGCTACTTGCTAGGTTTGCAGCCACATTACATCCTAAAAACCTTCTTAAAAATTTGTTTTAAATTTCACTTTAAAATAAAGTGTCATGTTTATCATCCTGAGTTCCTCAGAGGCAGGAGAGCGAGTAGGTAGAATTCTTCATTAGTGGACCAGCCACTGGCATGTGACACACAGCAGCCGCTAAGGAGAGCAAGACCGCTCTTTACTTCCTCCCTTCTTATGCGTTATTAGCATACGTGTGCGGTACATGATGATTACATCCCTCGTGGGGAGCTGGTGCACGTGCATAGCACACCTCAATTCTTTTTTCGTCCCCTGCCCCTCGCCTCTTCCTCCATCTCTTGGTTCCCTCATTGGTAAAAGACTTATCTCCCTATCTCCTAGTATCTTTTTTTTCACTCTTTATTTCTGTTTTGGGTTTCTCTGATATGCAGCAAGTGAGCATGCTGTGCTAGACAGTGCCCTGAGTATATCAAAACTACAAGTGCATTGGAGACCAACTATGCTGAAGAGCCTACAGACAGTGGGAAAGTACAAATCTGGCTCTAAAAGTTAAAACACAATTAAATCATCTCTGTCTTCTGATACCTGGAGCATTCGACGATGAGGAACACCTGTGCTCCAAGAAAATGACCTCAATGTTAAATTATTTGCCATATAACTGTCATCAAAAACTCAGTGAGAAAATTTATAGGCCAAAGAGACTGTCTAATAAAGGATATATTAACTTTCAGTCCTTAAGATATTCCAAGTTTTGTCCCCATATAGGGTGAGCTCATCAGAAAACTATATGCCTGGGCTTTATTACTCCGATCCCTTTAGATTTGTCGTCTCTGAATCACGACTTAACACTATGCCAACAGACTTCAATCAGGGTTTATTTATGGTCATGAGCAAAATAACTCTGGTTTCTGAGGGTTCAGCCCTTAAGTCATTCCCGGTTCTCTCAGCACCAGGATAAATCTTATTGCTCACAATTGCTACAATACTTCCTTCCACTGGACCATCAGTTTTGCATCCTCGGCACCTTCATGATGATAAGAAATGTAGTTCAAGGGAATGTCTTAGATTTATGAAAAAAAAACCTTAGTGGGTTGTTCAAACATAAACTGCCACAAGCAACTTTATAGTAGGACTCCAATTTTTGAGGATGGTACTGTAAAAACAATCTTGGTACCTGCGAAAATAAAGTTTGGTTCAAAAGGAACCAGACATTGGGCTTGAATTTTTTTAAATTAGCACACTCTTAAAGAAGAGAATGTTGGCCTCCTGCTGTGAAGGAAATGATGTAACACAGTACAAAGAGTCCATTTTGTAGAATTAGAAAACATATACTTGAGTCCAAGAATCCCCATCAGCCAGGAGACTCTGGCCAAGAATTTGATCAAAATTGAAACGCCCTACTATGATGTGAAAAAATCACCTCTGAGAGCATCTCGGGATGTTTCTATTTGTTAGTTTGGTGTCTTGAAAATGGCATAACCCCGCTGGACACTTAAATGCCATCTATCGTGACATTCAGATGAGATAAGTTTATAAAAGCATTTTTTAAACTATAAAATAGCATGTACCTTTCAAGTGCTGTGATTGTGTTTTCTATTATGAAGATCTTGTTATAAGAAAAGTACATTCAGGTTTTCATTTCAAGTCATCAAAAGACCTTTCTACACTCAGTATCTCCTTGTCTTAGCTACTTATGCTTCCTCCAGCAGGATTTTGTCTTCACCCAATGCAAACATAATCTTCCCAGATAAAGATGCTCATCTTCATGATGCTAAATCTAGTAATCAGGTCTCAGTCTTCACTTTATCTGACACAGTTATCTTGTTCCTTCTGCTTCAAATACTTCGTTTGCTTTGAGTACAGAACAATATATTCAGATGGTTTTCCTTTTATTTCCTCAGTCACTGTGCTATGGTCTGGAATATCAACAAAAGGTTTGTGTGTTAAAGCCTCGGTCACCAGCTGGTGGCACCACTAGGATGTGGGAACCGGTAGATGGAAGCACGGTCTTTGGGGCTGTGCCTGGAAGGAGACACTGGGGCTCCAGTGAGCAGACTCATCCACCATGAGCTCTTGCCTTGGTATTCTGCTTCACCGGAGGCCTCAAAACAACACAGCCAAGTGAACATGGACTGAAACCTCAGAAACCGTAAGCCAGAATGGACTTTTCCTCCTTTTGAGTTGATTTTCTCAGGTATTTTGTCACAGCAATAGAAAATTAACACACCCTCCTTCTCACATCCTATTCAGACCTTTTTCTTTTCCCATCTTCCGATCTCAGAATGCCACATTCAATTAAGGGGCTCAAGACATATTTCCTGAATGCATTGGAATAGAACAACTGTCTAGGCAATCTGTCAGTGGTACCATGTACTTAGTATGGTCAGATCTAGAAATGAAGTAACAGCTTCACATGACTACTCTACCAGGAAGGTCCTAAGAAAGTGTAGCAGAAATGCCAGCAAAGTACAGCGGAATGGTGAGGTCAGGGTGACTCACCACAGGGCAAAGGATAACAGTTTAGAGAATAAAAGCATTACTCACTTTCTATGAAGAGTATATTTCTGATTTCTATTTCAAAGGGCCATAAAGTCAGGATGTACCTCCCACAGGGGAGCTGACTTGAATGTATATGTGCAGTTTCCTCACCATGATCTATGTCACAAATGCACACCACTGGCTAGAAGGGTAAGTGGATTCGGCTGAACTCAGCAAGTATTTCAAGCAGTGGGCCGGGCCTTGGGGACCGGGAGCCCAGTATGCTCTCTGTCATGCAGCAGCTGGTCACCAAGAGACAGAACCTGAGATGGACGAGCTCCTGAAATGCTGTGCCTAATCGGGCCTTGGTGCCATTTACAACAGGGCAAAATGGGGCATAGAAAGGGTACCTCCTGGTCATTCTACCTGCTGGAAGTAAGTACTGGGACATTTCCAAAGACGGTAACAAGGGCTGAGTCTGGATGGGTGAAAGGGGGAAAAAGGAAGGAACTTGTTGCAGGTTTTAGAAAGGAAAAGCCTGTTCAGTGGGATAAATCAGCCATGCAGGTTCAATATCGTGTGGTTTCCCTTACATGAGAAACCCAAAGCATAAATAAATTAAAGCCAAAATAAAAGATAGGTAATAGGAAAGAGATCTTTCGCAAATGGGTCGGGGATCAAAAGAAGGAGAGAGAGGGGAAGGAGGAGAAGGCAAGGAGATGAAAAGAGACCTAAGATGTGTTACGTACATACACCGACTCTCCGCGGTGCGTGTAGTCATTGTGTACTGAAATATGTAGTAGTAAAAATAAACATTGTTTAAAGGGAAGAAATTTGGTGTGATTGGAGATACTGGTAAGATTAGCTAAAGGCCAAGGTGGAAGGGGTGCTTTTGATTCTAAGGAATTCATGAAAGCATTAACAGGAGTATATTTTGATTTGTGCCATTTTGCAGAAAGAAAATGGGAGAAATGTGGGTGATTGTGGCAGAGCCCGGTTGCACCTGGAGAACCATCTCTGACCCTTGCTACAGAGCCTAGAACCCAAGGAGGTTTCTCCGTCGTGACACAGGGTACCCTTGTTTCCCACTGGAGGAACTTATTTGAAGACGAAACTTCAAAAGTATTCTCAAATAGAGCACAAAGAAATACCGTAAGCTGACAATAGACAATGGATATAAATTAACAAATCACAGGAAAGAGAAACAGGAAAGGCAGTTAATAAATATTTGGGAAAATAATAACATTCACTGGAAATCAAGAAATTTTTAAAAGGACAAACACCTAGTCATACTTAGAAGATTGGCCTAGACTTTTATTTTGTTTTGAACGATAATACTCTAAGCTGTCTTGGCATTTTGGAAAACTACTTTTATTTGCTAAAATAGGAGGGAAAATTGGCAAAAACTTCCTGGAAAGCAACTTAACACTATGTGTTTAAAAACCTCTCAAATTTATATTTAAAAAAAAACCCTCTGTCCCTAGATTTCCTAGAAATACAGCTAAAGAAATAACTGTAGATACAAACATAATTTTTATTCAAAGATGCATCTGAGAAGCATTAGAAAAACAAAAACAATTAAAAGCAATTATCCAACAATAAAGGAATAATCAATTACAGCACATCTACTGCACACCCATCACAAATAAGTTTTCAAAGACTTTTTAAGGTACTCTATGAGCTGTGTCCCAAAAAGTGGGCTACAGGGCCGGGGATTTAGCTCAGCGGTTCCGCCACCTGCCTTGTAAGCGCAAAGACCCGAGTTTGATCCCCAGTACCAAAAAAACTCTAACCAGAAAGTGGACTACAGAACCATATACTGCACTGGCCTTTACATATATACATATTTGTAAAAACAGACTAATTTGAAGAGAATGGCTTTTTTTTAAAAGGTAGCCATCTTCACTTTTCTGATTTTGTAAAGCATTTTAGTTGGTTAATTTTAGTGAAAAGTTCACCTCTCCTAGGAAATCTCCTAGGACCCCCAAAGTAGGCTAAGTTCACCCTCTTTAGAACTTTTATGGGAGTCCATAAACATTGCATCATGTACATTATGACCCTGCACTAGTGTCCTCTCTCCTCTACAAAATGTGTGTCAGAAAACCAGGCATGCTACATTAATCGTCTTCCTACTCAGTATTTAGGGAGCTGAGACAAACCTAAAGATTTCTCTTTGTCTCAGAGCAGCCACTATATGTCTGGTCTTAATGGTGCTGGAACAGTGATTCAGATGGACCCAACTATGCAGCACTTTCTGTTTGTCCAGTCCAAGCCCTCAGGACGAGCACGTAGGCAGGAACTGCGGTACTCTCTCTGCCCCTACCTGGGCCGTCAGCTACTGTGCCCAGAAGAATCCAGTATTCCCATACCTGGGTAAACCTGGCTTCTGCAGAAGGTCCGCACCCCTGTGTCGCACAGACATCCCGGGCTGAGGGTTGGTACATTAGAGGGTTCCATCCCTCATATGTCAGAGACACGAGGATTGACACAGGCCTTCAAAGCAACCCCTTCATTGCTCTCTGGCATTATTCAAATCCAACTGTCTTAGGGGTTCCTTTTATCCTACTCCTTGGGTACATCTAAATACATGCATAGAAGATGCATAACAGATAGACTTATGATTAGAAAAGAAAGAAGAGATAAGGTGGTTCATATATATTTAAACATATTTTATAGATTATAAATAAGATCATTAGGCCTTGATGTCCTTATCTATGATATACACATTCCTATGTGTATATAGATACCTATAAATACATATATACATATGTGGGGTTATTTTTCTGGCTTGGAATAGCCTCTGGTTTCCCCAATTACAAAGATGAAACCTTTCTACCATAAAGCTAGCCTTCTGGTTTTTTTCTGGAAAACATTCTACAGCTCTAGGATGAAGATTTTCTACTTCATAACAGTGACAAGGCAGCCTCATCTCCCCCAAATCCTCTCTACTTTCTAGCTATCAGAGATTTCAAGGCATGATCTTATTTCTAGTTCATTAAATATATATATATATAATTCAACACAGTTAATTAGGCTAGCTCATGCCAGTGATGGTGGCTAATAATTGGGTACATTTGGGTAGATCTTACAATCAGTTTGACAATATCAGTATGAGGTTTGAAACCGATGTCAACAAATCCACAGGCCAATTCGAAGCATTTGTATCATACATAGTCGTTTGTTTTGTGTGTGTGTGTTTCTTTGGTGTTTTGGGTTTTTTGGTACCAGGGATCGAACTCGGGTCCTTGCACTTGCAAGGCAGGTGGCAGAAACACTGAGCCAAATCCCTGACCCCAAACATAGTCTTTTGAATATTTGTTTGCATAAAATCTAACGCCTACATTTTTAGATATCCAATTCTCTCAAACGTTCTTTAGCTAATAGGTCTCCTTTGAGTATCACCTTCCTAGGATTCTTCATGCCTCAATTCCAATCTTCTCTCTTCTTCATCCTTTAGAGGAGAAAAGAGACACAAAGCAAGGACAAGTTTGAGAACACCAAGAAAGAGGAAGGAGGAGGAGGAGGGAGTGGGAGAGGACAAGGAAGAGGCAGAGCAAGTGTGGAATCTGAAGATACTCCCCAAAATAGAAGGCAAGGGCGCCTCTGGGAGTCTGAGCATGGAAAGTGTGACAGCATCTCCTGCCAAAGTACCCAGAAGAGTCAAGATCAAAGGGACAGAGCCTTTTGAAATCACTTTCATGATGAACGCTCAGGTGACAAAAATCCAACAAAGAAAATGTTTGCTGAGGAATATTTCTCAAAGTGAGAACAGATGTCACAGTGCACTAGTTATCTGATGGTGTGCAAATGAAGGATGTTGTGTCCCCTTTCCCTATTTTTTTTTTTTGTCTTTGCTCTTACTGGAAAACTGGGACCTATTATCTTTAAAATATTAACTATTTATTTCACCCAAGTTTCACAAGGAAACACTACGTGAGAGGAAGCCCTTGTCTTTCAAAATCACAGACCACCCATTTAGTGCATGGCACTGTGACCCTAAAACCAACCTCTAGTGAAGAGTGTTTGTGGAGCTCAGCCCTTGGAGGGTTCAGCCTGGACCAGCCCCTCCTCGGCTGGCAGGGACAGTAAGCCAAGCATATGATGCAGACCAGGAATTTCCAACAGATACTTAATAACCAAGTCCCGAAAGAAAGAAACTTCAACTCTCCCTTTTTGGCAGAACACTTTATATATTCTTGTATATTTTAAAACTATTTACAGTTCATATGGTTTCCAGACCTGCTGACCAGAATCGAGGGCACTTTTCCTCCACCTGAGTCTCTCTATGCCCTGTGGGATTTGTAGGCAGCTAGCCAGGAGCACATTTGGTCTGGAAATAAAGGCTTCTGCTTAGCAGTGTGCAGGGGAAGCAACCTGCATGAGCACACACGCCTGGACAGGGCACAGTGGGTTCCACCCCGGCTCTCAGTGGCCCAGGCCCCCACAGTTTGGTTTGCTGGGCATGCTGGCCCTGGGGAGGCTGCTGACGAAATAGCCAGCTTTGCTTCAAGCACCATCCCAAGCTCTGCTGACTTCAAAGCAAAGTTGATTAGGTGAGGAAGGGAACCTATGCCTCCCTTTCTTTAAATGTCAGGCTCTGTCCCATGCATGTCACGCCACAGCCATGCTGGATGACTCCCAGTCACCCCGAATTCAAGCAGCAATGACAGCAGACAATGACATGCACAAAACTCAAAATATACAGACACCTCCCTTTGTCCTGGTGTTGGCTGCAGGGAAGAAGGGGAGAAATACCTTTACCTAAATATATATATGTAAACATATATATGTATATATATATATATATTTTTTTTTTTTTTTTTTGTCTTAAACATGGTATATTTAACTTCCTTGGGTGCATTTTGCTTGCCAAACATAATTATTATCAATGGCATGCTGATACTATTTGGTTGGTGACAGGAATAGAGAAATCAGCTCAGCCTCAAGGAGCTCACAGTTCCAGGAAACACAGGGGCATGAGGTTTTCCAAGAGCAAAACCGTCCAACCTTTTGGGCTGTCCTTAGGGAAAAAGCCCAGACTCTGAGTGTGGTCGTCAAGGTCCTGCAGGGTCCAGGGTGATTGCTGTGCCAGCCCCATCCCCCTGCTCCTCTCTGTGCTCTCTGGGCATCTGCCACTCAGTCACATGCTCACCACCCTCTCCTCCCTCCCTCCGCAAGGCCGTGGCCTGAGCTGCTGCCCTGTCTGGAATTGTTTCCATCTCATTGCTGCCTCCCACATCTCCTTTACCGACCTCGATGCTCATGGTCATTGAGTTCGCAGCCCAAATTTGCCCCCTTTCTAAACCCCTCATCACATCCCACCAGAAAACAAAAACTACACTTCCTTTAGAATGACATTCTTTTCCTTGGAACGACAACCACCTGTCACGGATCTTGTATTACACCTGTGCCCCTCACCAGATTCCAGGCTCCATTCTGCAAAGACGGTGTCTGTGTCCCACTGCCCTTCCGGCACCTGACCCAGTGCCTCCCCCACAATAAGCACTCAATAAAGACCAACAAGTACAGGAAAGGTGAGAAGACGGGACAAGTCAGTATGCCATAATGGCCTGATATTCACTCCGGGCCTCGCCCAGGAAATCTTCTGACTCTGCTGCAATCTTCTCCATCCTCGCTACTGGAAGGCCCTTTCCAACTCTTTTCCTAATCCTCCTTTCTTAAATTTTTAATGATGACATCTATTTATCATATTCTTCATTTTTAGCCATTTCGTTAGTCGTTCTCTTCATTCTATGTGTGACAAAAACCTATGATGGAAAACAAGTTGTTTGACGTTTGAACTTTTCAATTTTTTTAATACATGCTTTTGCAGTACATACTGTTTACATTTTTGTGTGTGGAGCTGCTACATGTGCACGACACATCTTAATTCCTTTTTTCCTCCCTTTTTTCTCCCCTTCCTCCCCTTCTCTCCGTCTCTCGGCCCCCTTCCCTTTTGAGAAAGATCTATCTCCCTTCTTCCTATTATCTATCAGTTTGATGGGTCTTGTGCTTGCGAGGCAGGCAGCAGAACCACTGAGCTAAATACCTGGCCCCCTATTATCTTTCATTTTGCTCTTCATTTATGCTTCAGGTTTCTCATATTAGAGAAACCATGCAATAGTCAAGCGTGTGAATCTGATTTATTTCACTTAATATTATGGTCTCAAAGTGCATCCATCTTCCTACAAATGACTCCAGTTTACCTTCTTCATGGCAGAGTAGTGCGCCCTTGTGTGTAAACACATTTTCTTTACCAATTCCTCTGTTGATGAACATAATGTACAGGCTGCTTCCCAGATTTACCTATTAAAAATTGTGCTGCTATAAATATACCACTGTAATATTCTGCAACTTATCGTATATCTGATTGTTTTTCCACTATCATCCCAACCAGCCTAAATATCATATTTACTTTTCTAATTCCAACCTCCCATCTTCTGCTGAATCTTTCACTCCTTTTGGGTCACTGATTTCCTTGCTCCTTACCATCAGGACAAAGTCAAAGAGGACCACAGAGCCATGGCATTTAAGGGCTGGGAGAGACCCTGAAACGTATGGCCCAACAGTGCCCAAGCCTCAGTGTCCCTGAAAACCCTCTGTGGGCTTCTTTAGAATAGAATCCCAAAGTCCCAAACATGGCAGTCTGGATTAAGGAGCTCTGGGAATGACCCGCAAATCTACACTGGGTCGATTCAGGCAAGGGGTCTGGACAATGGGTACGCTGGACAATTCAGTCCAGCGGCACCCATGGGGGCCACTCCAGGGCCACCCCAAAGGCTGAGACCTTCTGTAGGCGCCCTTGCCCCGACACACACACACTGTCCTCTTGAGTGCCCATGTGCGCTCTTGTCCTACACACTGGACTCCCACGCAGGATTGCCTTCAGAGAAGGTTCTACAAGTCAGAGGAAGAGCTGGGAATGACAGCATGTGGGAGAAGTTCAAGCCTGGCTGGGCCAGGTGGCCACACTCCTGTCTCCTGAGCTAACTTGGAGATCTTGCTAAGGCTGAGCTAACTCACCTAAGTGCATAAATGCTGGGTCCAACAGGCTACACCTCTGCCCCTAGTCTGTGACTCCTTCGCCTCACCAAAGAAAAATCACTCCGCCATGTCTGGCCAATAAGATACCGCCAAACGTTAAATGCTCCTCCCATGCTCCGCCCCCATGGTTGTCCCTATATAAGCCTGTGCATTTCGTGAATAAAGCAGAAGCGTTCCAACAACCTCTTCAGGGTCTTCTTGGTGTTTCCGCGCCTTGCTCTCCCAGTCCCAAATGCTGAACCTTGTTCCGCGAGCGGGCTCGGGGAGAACAACAACAGCATTCAGCTCCCTTGTTCCAAGGATGATAAAACTGAAGCCCTTGACCCATAGGACTTCACACAGCAAATTAAGGACAGGGCTGGGACCTCTTAACATGAAGCTTAACAGCCTCTTAACATGAAGTTGACAGACTCCCAAAATACTCTGCTTTATGCCTGAGTGACTTTATGAGGTGTGATCAAAAACACAGTGAACGCTGTTACTGAGCACCATCTCAAGAAAGGCAGCTCGTAAACATGCCAAGTGCACCCTCATTCACCCTGTTCACCAGACCCGGGAGTAGGCGACTCCTGACTCTCCCCCAAAGTCAAAATGACCATGAAAGGGAGATGTGTTGAACTGATGCATGACACTAAGGCGGCCACAACAACACAGCTAAAGACATTCATGAAAGAGGACTCCAGAGCTGCTTCAAAAAGTAGCAAAAGATGCCAGGAAGGTAGCTCAGCTGCACAGTGCCTGCCTGGCAAGTGCGAGGGCCTGAGTTCAATTCCCAGTATCAAAAAGTAGCAGAAGTGATGGGATAAGTGTGTTCAAAGCGAGAGCGAGAGCGAGAGAGAGAGAGAGAAGGAAGGAGAAATGGAGGGAGGGAGGGAGGAAGGGAAAAGGAGGAAAGAAAAGAAAATTACATTTTTTAAATGAATGCCCTGAAATCTCCAAGGCCTTGGGGTTTAGCTATGAATATGCTTTTCAAAAACTGTCCTGGCCCTCCTGCCTAAGTCAACTCAGAAGAGATGCATGAAGATCTATTGCTAAAGAAGAAAGAGAAACGAGTTTGAAAGGTCCCATAGGGTGCAATGTATTTTTAACTTCCACTGGCTCCTAAAAAGAAGGCCTCGTTACAGAGGAGCAGCGGTGACGATCTGAGTCCAGAGCAGAGGAAAACAAACCACGCGGAGCACTAAAGGGGAGGTAAGTACAGGGAGCCCCCCGTATGAGAGACAGGAGACTGGGCCAGCTGCACGGGATGCGGAATGGGGGAGGAGCGGTTTAAGAGGCCAGGAGGAGAGTTTCAGAGGAAGAAAAATGTGAGAACCGCACGTTGCTGGAGGAGGGGAGCGTGGTGCAAACCTCCTCTCCTCGGTTATCTTCTCCAAACCCTTCAGGCAGCTCCATGCCGTTCTCCAAGGCTGTTACAGGAGGGGGTTACTTTGAAGGAGCTGTGAAAAGAGGACAAGGAAGCAGCCAACATCTAGGCCGCCTAAACTTGAGAAAGAATTTGAAGAGATGCCACTGCAAACATCACGCCAAGTGCTCTAATTTCCGGTCATTTTGAGATGCACCTCATTTAGGGAAACAGTCACCACGGAGAAATTCAACCCTTAAAGATTATATCCATGCAACGCAATAATGGAAAATTGTTTGTAAGCACTACAACCAGTGATGGCGAACTTATGGCACGAGTGCCGCAGCAGTCTGTTCGTTGTCTCTGAAAGTTCTAAAAGGTTCGCCATCGCTAACTATAACAGTTTCACACCTCACATGCGGAGACCAGCCCTTTGGCCTTGGGCCCTTCCATCTGCAAAGCTGACAAGCACAAACGGCCCAGCAATTGATCAGTACAAGGCGTGAGAAGCCAGCATTCATTTACTGAGTCTGAAACTATTTTTGAAACACTTATGAGATATCAGCATGAGTTAAAAATTAATTTCACTTCAGGATTTTCACTGCATCCAAATAGTACTTGAGACTACTCCCATCAGCTTCCTTTTGAACTCATTGTCCTTAAGCCCATAAAAGAGTGTTTTATT